TCTCGTCTCCCATAGATGATTGTTCTAAGGAGTGTAGATGTTCACCTTATACACCTGTCTGTTATTTTGCTGGAAGCAAAGCCATGGGGAATGAGTTCAATTCCAGGCTTGAAAAGTAACTAGGGGCTATAGTCTAAAGGGTTTCACCAGGCTCTTATCAGACCAGTAAAGTTGGTTTTGTTTTGGTTTTTTATTGATTTTGATTTTTGTTCCACATTTTTCTCCCAGTCTATCCAACATCTCCTATTTTGATCCCTTTCTAAGTGGTTGACAGTGGTAGCTAGGCATTATCTCATGTTCTTAGTATCAGGGTGATGTAGGCTGAGGTTCCCATGATCCACTAGTCCCTTGGATTAACAGTTTCCATGTGTTTTTGGTTCTCTTCATTCGTCTTTGCTCCAGATAAGGAGAAACTAGTTGTTGCATCTTAGATGGCTGCTTGTAAGCTTTTAAGACCTCAATTGCTACTCACCAAAGTAGGATAAAGAATAATGTTTTTGTGTAGTATGTTATGCCAATTGAGTTTGGTGTCTTCTGTGACCATGGTCCCAATACCATGGACCCAGTCACTAATTCCTTCAGGGTGATTGGCTGAGGTTAAGAGTTATCATAACTCCCCTGTTACCTATATTATATATATGGACTTTCTTTTAGCATGATATAAGAATACATACATATAGATGATATGTAGAAATATCATCTGCCAAACATATATGGTCATGGGTATATTTCCTTTTGCCTAGACACCCGTGATCATTTAGCCTGTCTACCTACGTATCCACCCATATATTAATGTTTCTTATTAAAGACTGCTGGTGGTGTAGTGCCAAAGGCATTTGACTGCTAACCAGAATGTTGGCGGTTCAAACCCACCAGCCATTCTGCAGAAGGAAGACTGGGCAATCTACTTCTGTAAATATTTACCACCTGGAAAACCCAAAGGGGATCTCTATGAGTCAAAATCGACTCTGTGGCAGTGAGTTTGATTTGGAATTACTGATAAATTAGTGTTATGTATGTAAAAGTGCTTATCTTTGCTGTCTTGTACTTCTGTGTACCTCTCTGTGTCTTCCTTTTCCTTGGTGGTACTGTGTTGGTTTCTCACTGTTAGTATGCCTTTCCCTTCATCAAAATATGTATTATTTATTTTTAACCCTTATTTACCAATGGCAAAACAAGCTTTACTGGACTTTTTTGAGCAGAAAACATACACCTTCTGAATGTGACAGTAGTAGTAAACCAAATCATGACAATGGAAGTGATTTTAAAGAGATGCAGACCAAGAGTTTTCACATGTTTTGTTGGGAAGCATTTTTCCTCCTACATTGAGTTCAGTTTTAGCCTTAATTTATGGGTAAGTGGTAAAACCACAGTGGGTTACTTGCTAAGGTTTACTGGCTAATGCCAGAATACTCCTTAGAAGCAGGGATGGTGATACTCTCATGTACTTTGGGATATGTGATTGGGGAGGACCAGTCTCTAGAGGACATCGTGCTTGGTAAAGTACTAGCAGTTGTTGTTACGTGCCGTCGAGTTGGACCCAACTCATAGCAACCCCTCCTTGGGTTTCCGAGGCAGCATCACTATGGAAGTAGATTGCCCAACCTTCCTTCCGAGGAGTGGCTGGTGGGTTTGAACCGCCAGCCTTCTGGTTAGCAGTCAAGTGCCTTAGGCACTACACGACCAAAGCTCTGGTAAAGTAGATAATCAACAACAAAAAAAGATAGATTGATACATTGGCTGCACTACGTGGCTCATACATAGCAACAGTTGTGAGAATATTGCAGGACCAGGCAGTGTTTCATTCTGTTGTACACAGGGTTGCTTTGAGTTGGAAACGACTCTGTAGCACCTAAGAACAATAACGAGCTAATGAAACAATAAAACCATCAAAATTTAAGTGACATTTACATTCCTGGTAAATCTGTTCAAAACCAATGGTATTTTTTTTAAAAAAAAGAATATTAAAACATGTATTCATTAGTGCTTTGTGAGTTTCCCAGAAAGTCTCACTTGATGTTACTAAGAATAAAGAAACATACAAATGACAAGATGAAACACATTTGGTTTGAAATGTTGGATTTATCTCCAGCAAAGGAGGTAGTTCTTATATCACTTTCCCTTGATACCATAACTTGAAGTATTTAGCAAAAGGCTAGTGATACAGAATACCAAAACTCTAGGACCAGTAAGGATATCATAGGAGTTTTTGTTGCAATTGATGACTACACAGATTTTGCTCATATGCCTATTATATGCAGGAATAATTTCTTTTTCATCTTAATTGATGACAAACACATCTTGCTCTAAGGTGTGTAAAACTTCTAAGGATTACAGTATCAGTGAGCATCGTTTAGAGTTTTGCATCATGTGGGAGTATCTTCTGTTTGTGCAGAGGTGGTGACAGGAAAACATGCTGGGGCTTGTGCCTACTGTAAATCGGTATACCACTTCTTTCCTAAGGAACCCTAGTGGTGCAGTGATTAAGTGCTCAGCTGCTAACCAAAAAGGTCGGTGGTTCAAATCCACCAGCCACTCTAAGGGTCTTGCTGTGTTGGCTGAATTTTAACAGTGCTTTTTATATCAGGTGAATAAACTAATTCACTAAGAGTGTGAATGCACTGTTGTTGTTGTTGTTATTTGCCGTCGAGTCGGCCCCGACTCATAGCAACCCCTCCTTGGGTTTCCGAGACAGTATCACTACGGAAGTAGGATTGCCCAGACTTCCTCCTGAGGAGTGGCTGGTGGGTTTGACCGCCAGCCTTCTGGTGAGCAGTCAGGTACCATAGGCACTGTGCTACCAGAGCTCCTAATTAAATGATAGTTAATTGGATCATGAACAACTGTTACTGTAGGCTGTGAGGTACAGTGGTTTTCAGAGGGACATTTTCATTCAGAAGTATTTGAACTTTGGGGTGAACTCGGTGCTTTTACAAGATCAGAAATCAGATTGGTTTTTAGGATAATATGAGTTAGACTTATTTGTCTGATAGCTTCTTACTGTTTTTTGGGGGGTGGGCAATGATCTTAACCTTCCCTTCAAGAAAGGAATATAAAATATTTTTCAACGGAAGATAAGATCAAAAGACAAAAATAGAAGTTAGAAACTTGGGGGAGATAATTCTACAGATTGTTATGTGTTCCATAATAATATACTAATAGTTATCATTGAAGTAGGTGGTGATCTTGATATTATACATTTGCAAAAAATTATAATCAAATAACTTACAAAGTTGATAGGACACTTTGGATTTTATTTTCCATCAAAAGAAAATCCATGTGTAGTAAATTCATAGATAAGGAATTCATCTTTTTCACCAGAAATTATTTTAGATTTTACTGTAACTGTTGAATAAATTATTGGAACTGGCTATCAATGAAGGATTGAAGACAAAATTGGGAAAGTGTCTTTTTGTCTTTTGGATAAAAGTTAAAAATGAATAACCTGAACTGACTGAAATTGCTTTAAAATCTCTCCTATTCCTGTCAGTATGCTTCTTTGTGACTAGTTTCTATGCTATGAGTGCTGTTCAACAAACAATAATTTAGATATTCATTATCCCACATGAGTAGTATTGTCATCAGTCCAACCTAGATTAGATAAATTAACAAGTTTGGTAGCTAGCCTCCAAGATAGCCTACAGTGGGCCCGTGTTAACACCTTTGTGTAATCATTGTTTCCCACACTGCAACCAAGTTTGATCCATGTGACCAATAAAATAAGGCAGAAGTGATGTTACTCCACTTCTGGGATTAGGTTGTAATAGACACTGCAACCCCTTTCTTGATTCCTGTGTCATTTTCTCTTTAGGATCACTTGCTTTGGGGGTGTAGTGAACAGGCCATTAGATAGGCCCACATAGCTGGTGAACTGAGGCCTCTGGCCATCAGCTAGTGAGGCCTTTTGCTGTCAGCCATGTGAGTGATTTTAGAAACAGATTCTGCAACCCCAGTCAAGCCTTGAGATGATTGTCGCTCTGACTCATACCATGACTGAAATTTCTTGAGAGACCCAAATAATCTGTCTCTGAATTGCTGACAGCAGAAACTCTGAGGTAATAAATGCATTGATTTGTGCCACTAATTTTTGGGGTAATTTGTTATATAGTAAAGGGTAACTAATGGGTAACTCATTAACTTCATGTAATTTGTTACATGAAAAATTTTAAATATTGACATATATGCTATTAGTGTACAGTTTGTGAATGGGTGTTTAATATTCAGAATTGCTATTTCACTCATAACTTTTGAGTAAATTAGGATTTGTGGAATGACAAAAGTTAGTGAAGTAGCAGTTATTATGTAATTATTTTTTCTATGTTTATTCTGATTATCTTTATTGAAATGTAGTTTTAAGAGTTTACATCTAATAACACATTTAGACTTCTATTTTGTATGTCCATTTTTATTTTTTTCAGTAGTTCATTTTTATTCGATTTTGCAAAAGTATGGTTTCATGATGACTTGACATTTAAAAAGAAAAGAAGAAGATAAAATGATTCTTTACCACAGATAGTCTGGATTAGGTCCCCTGTCTTAGTTCTCATGATACCTTATACTTACCTTATAATGATTATATTACTTTTTAAAAAATAATTGGTTAAACTGCTGTATGGAAAGTGAATTTGCTCTGTAAATCTTCACCCAAATCACAGTAAAAAAATAAAAAATAATAATAATAATTGGTTAGGTTCCCTGCTACATTGAAAGTTTGTGAAGGTTAGGTCCATGTCTGTGTTTGCTGTTGTATCTTCAGAACCTTCCACAGTGTCTGATACTTGGCACGTACTCAGTAGATGGTGGTTGAAATAATAATTGTTCCTTTAAAAACTTTTCATTGTGTTGGAATAATGATAACTTCTACAGTTGTAAATAAGTTGTCTACTAAAACCATACCCCGTCAGGAATGTTAATTGTTTAGGGTGAATAGAAAATATTCTTGGTGTTCTTTTTACTACTAGGAATTTTTATAAAACGTGTTTGTTTGTTTGTTTCTATAGTACAACCACTGTTTCTGAAGAAGATGCCTCAAGTAGATATCCACGACCAGATAGAAGTGGGTTCAGTAGATATAACAGGGATGCAAATGTTTCAGGTAATTTGGTCTCAAGCAGCACATTGGAAAAGAAAATTGAAGATCTTGAAAAGGTATGAATTACAAGTTATGTAAGATATTCTGTTAAAATTATTACAAGATTTTTTTTTTTCACTTTTACAGCAGCTGAGAGAGAAAAAGCAATTGAAGTTTACAGGAGGAGAGAATACCATAAAGTGGAGAAAGAATGAGGGACACTAGTGGTAGATACCATCAGTGTTAATCTGATTTACGTATATTGTTAACCTATGTCTCAGTGAGTCAATTCTGACTCATAGTGATCCTATAAGACATGAGTAGAACTGCCCCATACGGTTTCCAATGCTACAGTCTTTACGGAAGCAGACTGTCATACTTTCCCATGGAATGGCTGGTGTTTTCAAACTGCTGACCTTTCAGTTAGCAGCCAAATGCTTACTGCTGTGCCACCAGGGGCTCCTTGTTGCAGGTTTAAATCACTGTCTTCTGTGTATAGTTTCTAGACACAGGGGCTAGGCATTTTTGGACTTCCTTAACATATTCGTATTCACTTCTATTGATGCTAAAACTTTAGAAATGGAGCCAATTCTTTACTTTTAAGTATTTTAATTGGAGACTCCCATTGTGCCAAATGTTATCGCTAATAAATTGGAAACAGTCTCTGCCTTTAAAATGATTAGAAGTCTGAGGTGGTAATACATACTACTGTGTGCTTATTATATTTTCTGCAAAGAGTATAATTTAATAGGCTTACCTCTGGATTCTGAGTAAGAGCCACCTTTGGTGTTGGGACCAATTTTAAGGCCAAGCCTGTTTAGAATTATCTTTGAGAATAACTCAAATGAGTATCAGCACAAATTAATTAACCATAAAGGTGTCAGGTTCCATAGACATTCATCCCTTAAAATTAATAATGGTACTGAATTACTTTCTAATTGTTAAAAATATATTTTGTTTTACTGAATTAAAGTTATTCTCTATGATATAAAGGTTATAAATAGAAACATTTTATATTACAATTATTGTTAGGTCACTTCTAAGCTTTAACACTGGTTTTTACTTGGAATTGAAAACTTGTAAGATTATGTATTCTTGGGAGTTCCTCAGAAAGGCTCTGGATTTCCACAAGAATTTGGATTGCATTACAGGCAGTCTCTAGTTTACAAGCTTCTTAACTGACAGTTCTTACTTGCCCTTTAATGTTATGCAAATTTGCCCTCACTTTCAAACGACTCAACCAACTCTACTCCAACAAATTCTTCATTACAATCATCTTCACTTGCTACATGTGCAGCTGTTAAATCATTAAAAGGCTTTGAGCCTTTTCTTGCACTAAAGGAAGGCAGGGTAAGAATCATTTGCACCTGTTTCGACTTACTTACAAATTCCACTTAAAGACTTAAAGATATGGGAGCGATCTTATTCGTAACCTGAGGACTACCTGTAATTGGCAGCAGCTAATTAATGAAGGTGATTTGCCGCTTTCTTTGAGTGGATAGTAGGAAAGGAGACACATCTGGGCAACCCCTTTCCACTTTTCTTCCTTTTGTCCCCAGGATGGTTGACCCAGCCCATGGTCCTGAAATATGTTGCATTGTTTAAACAAAAAAGTTTTTAAATTGCTAATCTAATCAAAATCCTTCATTTTATTCATTGTCAGCATTAGAGCCTGAAGAAAAATTAAGGACCATTGTTTTTCTGTCTGGAGTTCTACTGAGCAGTCTCCTTTTCTTAAGCTTTGTATATTTAAATAAAAAATTTTAATTTCCTTACACAGTATATTATCCATATAATATGTTGCTCATAATTAATGGTAGTGATAAATAAGCTAAAGAGGATAAATCATTGAGTCTATTAATGTTTACTAAAGACTTGTGTAAACCTGTATTTAATCAAGAACTACCTTACAGTTTCTATATCCCTCTCATTCCCTTATTCTTCTCTGGGGTAGTTTCCTCCTTCTCTCCCTAGATACCTTAAATAGTTCATTGAAAATCTTCATATATCTAAGGTACTTCACCACAGTTGGTAGATGTATGCTTATGCCATTTAAAGAAGGTTATAAACAACCAGTTACTTCCCAATTAATACTTCATAATTTTCTATACCAGGAAGTAGTAAGAGAAAGACAAGAAAACTTAAGACTTGTGAGACTGATGCAGGATAAAGAAGAAATGATCGGAAAACTCAAAGAAGAAATTGACTTGTTAAATAGAGTAAGTATTTCAGTTCCATGGTTTCATCTTTTGTTGGCAATTGGATCAAGATGTATATATATGAGAATTTAATTACTCTGTTTTTTGTTAATGAAATAGTAATTTGAGCCCACATTTTGTTTCATCAGCTAATTTCCTCTGGCTGATTATCCATTTTAATCACTTAATTTTGTTTTGAGGATTGATTGATGAATACATTTGTTCTGTGTTTTGTTAAAATTGGGAAGTGACAGGTAGCTTGGTCATCCATACACAGAATTGTCTCTATGAAGAATTAAAATTGGTGCCTTCTCTCCGTAAAAATTCCAGATGTCTTTGGGTCGGTCTTCATCTCTTTTTTGCCCAGTTACATTTCTGCATCGTGAACTTCAGGTTTAGCCTTACTCCAACTCTGTATTACTTGGGTAGTTCTTCCTTTTGTTTTTTTAGTCCCTGAATTTATTTGCTGCTTATGAAGCAGTTATTAGTGCTAGGCCATACTTAGGTAGTGGTGAGATGAGCACAGATTTCACAGTTTTCCTTTTTAGAGAGTTTTTAGATAAGATGGAGGAAAGGAATATGTTTGTTTCAGGGAAAGGAGGATCAGACCTCCAGTCCAGCCTTTAACCAGGAAAGAAGAGAAAGCAGAGAGGCTTCATTATGTACAGACCCTAATAAAGCTCTAAGACATTACCCACAGGTTATCAATTAGGAAACTGAAACTCAGAATTGAAGTAACTTTCTCATGGTCATGTGTAGTAATTACTTAGTAATTGGCTAAGCCAGTATTTGACCTCAGATATTTGTTAAGTCTTAATTTGAAGCTCTTTCTATAGTTACGATGGCCTTTTGTGGTGTTTCAAAACACAGGCATTCATATATTAGCACTGGAATTTGATTTAATATATTCTATAAATATTTTCACTATCTGTGATTTATTAGCAATGTGGACATTGAAAAAGAGTAACAAAGCCCTTGCTTTTATAGAATTTATAATTTGGTAATGATGCATGAATATATTTTATCATTTTATTCTAAATCTTTGGTAGATTTCAGTTATTGTAAGTTTAGGAATCTTGTAACCTTATCCCATGGCACACACTATTTCTCTCCTGGGTTTATAATCTGTTGGCAATGGCCACACAGAACTCACAGACAGTACTCAGGATTATAGGGTTCATTAGGGAAGTAACAGGTTTAGGTTTAATTAGGTACACCCAGGATACAGTTCTTTGATCAGGACAGCCTCCTTTGAGCCATAATTGTAGGTATACCTCTCTTTGGCCCTCAGCCCCTTGGCCTGGCCTCTGCTCTGTTCCAGAAAGTGTTACAACACTCTTAGCTCTGCCAGTAGGTGCCCACAGAGGCGCCCCACCTCTGCCGTCCCCTCACCCAAAGGTACTCAGCTTTCTTACTCTGTGGGCCAGGAAACAAGCTGCTGTGTTCATCTTGGTTCTACTGCTTCTTGCTGTCTCTCACCATCTAAGCAGAATGTTACAGTTCTATCTATCTGCTGTGTTAGGGAAGTTCAAGGCAGGGATTTCCAAAGGACACACTCTACTTCTGGCTCATCTATCTTGATGGTAATGAGATCCTGCTTTTTGCCTCTGGAATTTTAAAGCTAGCAGGATGGCAAAATTGACTAATCCCCCCCCATTAGGGTTCCATACCCCTTATTTCCATGGTCTCACTCCCACAAGGATGCCATGTGCCTTATTTACATTATTAACAAGTTATCCAGTAAATACCTCACATTTCCATAATGTACCTTGAAATATGTTTCTTATAATTAAAATTCATAGTGGATTTTCTTAGTATTACCAAATGATTGTGTATATGGTACTAGTATTAATATGGGGAACATAGAGCTGGAATAATATGCTTTGAAATCTGGAGGGTGATTACCTAGTTTAGTGATTTTCAATTTTTTTAAGGTCTGAAATCTTTCCCACAAACAAAATATTTAAAAGAAAGCCCAACATGTAAACTGACCTAAATCGGCTGTCTCTGTGCCAGATCCCTTATTCTGTATGCCTCATTTCTATCACCTCCTCAGATTCTCCCCCTACAGGTACATTGTTAAAGATCACACATAGAGGTAGGAGTATTCAGAATTTATACTAGGATTTCTTGATGCCCAATTCTGTTCTGGCTTTTCTTGAAAAACTGAAGACCAACTAATAGGACTATTCTTTACATTTATGTACCAACCACTAATGCCAAAGATGAAGATATTGAAGATTTTTACCAACTTATGTAGTCTGAAATTGACCAAATGTGCAATCAAGATCTATTAATAATTAATAGTGATTGGACTGTGAAAGTTGAAATAAACAAGAAGGATCAGTAGTTGGAAACTATGGCCTTGATGATAGAAATGATGCTGGAGATCACAAGATAGAATTTTGCAAGACCAAGGACTTCTCATTGCAAATACCTTTTCAACAGCTATACACGTGGATCTTGCTAGCTGGAATACACAGTAATCAAATCAACTACACCTATGAAAAAATACAATGGGGAAACTTAGTATCATCAGAACAAGACCAGGTGCTGACTGTGTAACAGACCATCGATTGCTTATATCCAAGTTGAAGAAAATTAAAACAAATACACTAGAGCCAAAGTACAACCTTGAATATATCCTACCTGAATTTAGAGACCATCTCAAGGATAGATTTGACACATCAAACAATAATGACTGAAGAGTAGATGAGTTGTGAGTTAACATCAAGGACATCCTATATAAAGAAAGCAAAAGATCATTGAAAAGACAGGAAAGAAAGAAAAGATCAAAATAATGTCAGAAGAGACTCTGAAACTTTCTCTTGAATGGAGAGTAGCTGAAGGAAGAAATGATTTAGTAAAAGCTGAACAGATTTCAAAGGGTGGCTTGAGAAAATAAGTATTACAATGAAATGTGCAAAGACTTGGAGTTAGAAAAGCAAAAGGGAAGAATACGTTCTTTCTCATGCTGAAAGAACAGAAGAAAGAATTCTGTGCCCAAAAGATTGAATGATGCAGGAAGCATCAAAAGAAAATCAAAGGAATACACAGAGTAACTGTACTAAAAAGAATTGGCCGATGTCCAGCCTTTTAAGGAGATAGCATGTGATTAAGGACTGATGGTATTGAAGGAACAAGTCCAAGGTGCACTGAAGGCATTGGTGAAAAACAAGTCTCCAGGACTTGATGGAATACCAATTGAAATGTTTCAGTAAACAGATGCAGTGATGGAAGTATTCACTTGTTTAGGCCAAGAAATTTGGAAGACAATTACCTGGCCAACTGACTGGAAGAAATCCATATATGTGCCCATTCCAAAAACAAGGTGATCCAACAGAGTGAGGAAATTATCAAACATCATTAATATCACACACAAGTAAAATTTTGCTGAAGATAATTCAGAAACAGTTGGAGCTACATGGACAGGGAACTGTCAGAAATTCAAGCTAGAGGACGTGAAGCATTCAGAAGAGGATATAGAACAAGAAATATCAGTGTTGTCAGATGGATCTTCTTGGCTTTATCGGAGAACACCAGAAAGATGTTTACTTGTGTTTTATTGACTATGCAAAGGCATTCAACTGTGTGTATCATAACAGATTATGTATAAATTGCAAACAATGGGAATTCCAGAATACTTAATTGTGTTCATGCACAGCCTGTACATAGAGCAAGAGAACAAGGGGATACTATGTGGCTTAAAATCAGGAAATGTGTGCATCATGGTTGTATCCTTTTCCTGTATTTATTCAGTGTATATGCTGAGCAGATAATCCAAGAAGCTGGACTATATGAAGAAGAACACAACATTAGGATTGGAGGAAGACTCATTAACAACCTACAATACGCAGATGACACAACCTTGCTTGTTGAAAGTAGAGAAGACGTGAAGCACTTAGTGATGAAGATCAAAGACTACAGCCTTCAGAATGGATTACACTTTAGCATAAAACAAAAATCCTCACCACTGGACCAGTAAGCAATATCATAATAAACAGAGAAAAGATTGAAGTTGTCAAGGATTTCATTTTGTGGGGATCCACAATCAATAGATATGGAAGCAGCAACAAAGAAATGAAACAGCATTTTACACTGGGTAAATCTGCTGAAAAAGACCTCTTTAATGTGTCAAAGAGCAAAGGTATAACTTTAAAAACTAAGTTGCACCTGACTCAAACCATGGCACTTAGAGTCACCTCATATTCATGTGAAACCTGGACAACAAGGAATAAGAAAGACCAAAGAAGAATTGATGATGTTTAATTGTGGTGTTGGTGAAGAACATTGAACATACCATGGACTGCCAGAAGAATGAACAAATCTGTATTGGAAGAAGCATAGCCAGAATGCTCCTTAAAAGCAAGGATGGTGAGACTTTGTGTCTCGTACTTTGGACATGTTATCAGGAGGAGCCAGTCCCTGGAGAAGGACACCATGCTTGATAAAGTTAGAGGGTCAACAAAAAAGAGGAAGACCCTGAAGAAGATGGACTGACACAGTGGCTGCTGCCATGGGCTCAAAACAGTAAGGACTGTGAAATGGTGCCGGTGCAGGCATTGTTTTTGATGATCCTATATATGCATTAAAAATACAAAGCTATGAATCAAAACTGACTTAGCAGCACCTAACAAAGATAACATCAACTTGAAAACCTGAAAGATCTCACAGAAGTTGGTCTTCATTTGCTCTTGGTAACAATGAGGAGTTGAATAGTGGCTGCTTCTTCAGGTAGAACGTATTCCATCTATAGTCGTTTACTGAATTTGCTTCATTTTAAAATTAATAGTTTGATTGTATAAGTTATTTTAAAATGCATATTTAAAAAAAAATTTGTATCTCCTTAATAATATTTGTCTTAATTATTTTAAAATCTCATATGTTATTTTCCTTGTTTCCCTACAGGATTTAGATGACATAGAAGATGAAAATGAACAACTAAAGCAGGAAAATAAAACTCTTTTGAAAGTTGTTGGGCAGTTGACAAGGTAGAAGATTCAAGAAACACTATGGAAAAAAAATTTTTTAAACTACTGATTGAATGTTATGGTCAATGCTAGGACAATATTCCTATGCTGCAATTCATTATAATAACTAAGTTTGTATATTTATTTCTAGAAAACTTGATGTTTATTTTCAAAATACTTCTTTTTCATGATTAGTTTCAAACAAAGTATCCACCTTGTATTTCACAAATAAGTAGCATCTTTCAGTTATTAAAATGATAGGTTATGCTTTTTATGGTTTTGTGTGGTATTCAAATAATATATGGTTTAAAGTCACAATCATTTAAATATATTTTATCTATGGTAGTACATTTTTTCCTAAAGCAATATGCATAGTCTTTGTTTACATGAATCCAGAGGTTTCTTGGAAGTTACTTGCAAATACCTTTTTACTGATGCGTACCACCTTTTATGTGTTGATGACTTATTCAGAGTCTTTGTCTACTGTCATTTATTCTTTCAACTTATTTTAAGTGATTTAGAATTCTAGAATCACACTATTTTGTGTAACAGTTTTTAAAGGAAAGCTATTAGAAAAAGTCACTTAATGTGCATTAGTGGGCTAAATATAAATTTAAAAGAATACTTGAATTGTGCTATAGTACATGAAAATTTACTCTTGTATTTGAATATTAAAATCACTTTAACTTTTGAAAAAAAGTTGTAACTTTAATGTAAAATTTCTTATGTCGGTACTAATTTTTTTTAAGGATTTTAAGGTTTATTGAGATGCTGTGGTGATGCAGTGGTTAAAGCATTCAACTGCTCACCAAAAGGTCACCGGTTCAAACCCACCACCCGCTCCACAGGAGAACAATGTGGCAGTCTGCTTCCATAAAGTTTTACAGCCTTGGAAACCCTTTGGGGCAGTTCTACTCTGTCCTGTAAGGTTGCTAAGCATCTGAATCAACTCAGTGGCAGTGGGTTTGGGTTAAGGTTTATTAGTGAACGTGGAATGTTTTATAAAGTGGTTGGTTATTCTTCAGGCCTAGAAAGTGTATACAGTTTCAGTGTATAAGGAAAATTTAATATTTTTGATGATCCTATATATGCATTAAAAATATAAAGCAAAATACTTATACATAATTAAAGCATTTATGCTTACATTAGTAAAGCAGTACATAAACAGAAATAGTACTAAAATACTTTGCATATTTTTTAACTTTGAGATTAACACTGACAGTTACTCTCACTTAACTGAGAGATTATTGCCCTTCCACAAATTTAAGGAATTTTCTTCCTAACAGTGGAATTTTTAAAAACTATTATTTGTGAGGAATTACAAAAGCTTATTCTTCCACATATCATGAGTGTTTATGGTTTTTATTTTATAATACACTTCCATGTTCAGTAAAAACCTACCTGTAAAATACATTAACATTAAAAAATGTCTGCCTGATGGTTGAATCTTAAATAGTGTACTGTTATCATCTTAGCCAATTAATGTACATACTTGCTTGGACATATTAAAATCCATTTTGGGTACCCCACTGACTCTTTCCTTCACTTACCAAGCCCCTTCATTGTTTTCTGTTGGGAAAATAGGAAAGGTGAGAAAATTGGGGGGGAAATGTGTAGAAAATAAATACCAGAGAGTGAATCTAAAATTCTGTATAGTTACCTAGCCTTCCAACCCCCCCACGCCATCTTCCCTTTTCACAAGTTCCAAACCTGACTGATAGAATCTCTTGGGTGCTTAGAAAGAATTCCCTGACTATATATAGCTCCTAGATAGGTTTACATTGAGAACCTGGAATCTAAAATTTTTACAGGTAAACTATCTGATGATTCTGATCATCATCTAGGTTTGGGAATAACTGCTATTACCTCTTTTCTCTTGCATGTTCTATTAAGGCCCTGGAATTAACGTAATTTTAGCGATTAGCATTTTTTTCCCCTTTGTGTATATTTCCTAATTAACCTAGTCTCTGGGCAGTTTTTATATGTTCCTATCTATATGTACTACTCACCACGAATTTGATGTTAGAATACCAAACTTGGTATAGTTGGAAAATTACTGCGTAAACACTTCCTTCTTGAAGACTACTTAATATGCAGCCTGGGAACAGTGATCTGCCACTCAAACATCTCAAGTGTCATGCAGTGATTCGTGGCTGTAAGGTAATCATCTCCTGTCAATAAGGGGCACAAATGTCAGTATTGCCTAATTTTTCATTCACACTTTGGATGTTGTAGAAATGCTGTCATTATCTAATGTTAAAATATATTAGTGTGTTGGTTTTTCAGTTAGAAAGAAAGAATTATTTTGAATTTTCTGTTTAATTCAAATATGGATAAAGGAACATTTCTTTTACTTCTTAAAATTATACCAGTTAAAGACTGAACTGTTTTTAAAATTTTTCTTTTCTTCAATTTATTGGGAATATTCCCAGCAGTGATTTTTGCTTTTTTTTTTTTCAACATAAACATATGTAGTGCAAATGCAGGAGATGTGGTAACTGAGGCAAAAATATTTTGTGCTGTCCTCCTCCCCCTCCCTGAAATGTATATTTATTTCACATACAGATTTTACACTGAATATTGAAAAAATAAAATAAAATATGCTACAATTTCTCCTTAAGATTTATAAAGGTGTTGAGGTTTTTAAAGGTGACTGAAGTAAATTACTACCTTAGAATATTTGGCTGTTGTCAATAAAATGCTAGTGTTTATGAAATTATTATAGTTCTATTGAAAAATATTATTTCTTATATGTCCTAGGAATTTGTGGCATAATAAAACACATCCAAAGTTCTGATGTGTTTATGAGATCATTTTCAAAACAATATATTTATTATCTTTAAAATAAACATTTTCCTCCTTAGGGATTTCTGATATACATTAACTTGAAAAAAACTGAAATAATCTTAATCTCCCTTTTCTAAATTGTTGATAATTTTATTGTACTACAGTTACCTTCAGAAAAGAAAGGGAAGGCATTTGGTGGTATGTTTCTAAATAATTTAAGGGAATTTATTAAATATAGTAAATTAGCACTCCCGTACTTGGGCAAGAAGTTTAAAACATAGTAAGTTAAGAGTCAGGGGCAAGTAAATGAACCAGTGTGTCCCTAAGGTGATGAGAACCTATCTCAGTTAAATGTGGTTTATATTTTCTGAATTAATGTGAATTTTTTAATTGGAAATTAAAATGTAAGATTTAGATTCCACCAGTACTTTGTTGGAAACAGCGTAAGTCTGTGTAATGGAAGTAACCATGTTCTACACTCAGACGAAACTGCAAAGATATTTTGGATTTGAGAAACGATCTGGTCTTCTGGATATTTTTCATATTTATAGTGATGGTCATCTTTTATCTTTTTTATAGTTATATGATTTTTTTTTTGTCATTGCATGGTAAGTTCCATCCAGCATTGGCACTTGTAATAGCCATGATTTTGTTAATAACCAGTGCAAAAAGGGCAAGGAGGCCACATATTCAGACCTCCTACAACCCCACAAGAGGAAGGCTGAATCACCATCAGTAGCCCAAGGCCTATTACTGCAAGGCTAGACATGCTGCCTCCCTCCAGCCCTTTCACCAACTGTTCCTCCCAAAGCACCCACCACCTGTCTCCTGGGTTTGGTAATTCACTGCAGTGGCCACACAGAACTCACAGATTATGAGGTTTATTAAGGAAGCACCAGGCTACAATTCGAGTTCAGGAAAAATGCTCAGTTTCTCTCCCCAGCCCACCATCTCTCAGCCAAGTCTCTCATAGTCTCTCCCCCAGCAGTGCATGTCCCTCGGTGTCTTACTCAGCAATGCGTGTCTCTTGTGTCTTTATCCCAGCAGCACGTGTCTCTTTCAGCAGCACGTCTTCCTCAACCAGCAGTCAGAGAGAGTTCTGCCTCTAGGAGGCCTCCTTTTGAGCTTGGCAGAGTGGCCAGACCAACCAATCATAACAACAGAATTCTAAGCAAATGAGAGTGAACCTCCCATAATATTGCGTTGTGCCACGCCCAACAGAAATAATCCAGGTGGATAACATTTACAATCAGGAGCTCCCCAGTTGCTCATTCCACCACTGAGTTTACAATGACTTATGGGTAGAAAAGCCATACTAAGTAATTTACTACACTGCAACCAGTTACAGGACAGAGACAAAATATTCATTATTATAATATAAGAAACCAGACATACCAGCTTTCCACTGGTGAGTTATATTAAGTGAGAAAGAACTGGCATTCAGGAATCAGAACTTGAAAATAACATGTTTGAAGTTAGTGCTCAACATTTTCATATTTTTGTGAATTATTTCCAGTATGTAACTGTAAAGCTTGACTTATGCATTAGAGCATTGCGCTCATAAATAAAGGACATCTCACTGATTAACCAAAAAAACTAACCAAACTCACTGCCATCGAGTCAATTCCGACTCGTTGTGACCCCTCCTTGGGTTTCTGAGGCAGTATCTCTATGGAAGTAGATTGCCCAATCTTCTTTCTGAGGAGTGGCTGGCTGGTGGGTTTGAACCGCCAGCCTTCTGGTTAGCAGTCAGATGCCTTAGGCACTATGCCACCAGAGCTCCCTCTTGCTGATTAGGGTTGTAATTTGTATCACTTACCTGAGAATTGATATGACACTTTCATAAACTAGTATAAACTGGAAGCATTATACTGGTAGCAGACAACTAGTATTTTGCTTATCAGGTACACTAACATATTGTTTTCTTGGTATATAGAGGTTGGTTGTTTTCACTCTCAGTTTAAAGACTCCAACTATAACTCATACTACTTTTATATTTTAGTTACTAGTGAGAATGAAAGAATGTTAAAGGTAAACTTCTGTTCCTCCAAAAAATAATCATGTGAGTGTATGAGAGAATACGTACTGGGGAAGTTGGCATTAAATTTTCAGACCTAATTTTTCAGCAAGTATTTAATAGTCTTTTGGGTATTCTATCATAGATATTACAGATTTTTTGAAAAATTAGAATAGACCAACCCTTCCATCTAGAATTGTATAATCTATGTAGTGTAAATC